GTCCAGAGGAGGGACGGTGGTTCGGACACGTCCAGAGGAGGGACAGTGGAACACTGGGTTGGGATTACTGGTGCAGCGTTAGAATGGTTCCATTCATACCTGAGCAACAGGAGTTTCTGTGTTAATTTTGCTAACACTATCTACTTCAGTGCCTCTTTCTTGCGGGGTCCCACAAGGCTGCATTCTTGGACCCCTTCTGTTCTCATTATCTCCTCCCCTTAGGGTCTACCCTGAGGAAACATGGTCTTTCCTTTCATTGTTATGCTGATGACTCTCAGATTTCTCTGCCGTTAACACCTAACAGTTCCTCCTCCATTCGCCCTTTGTTAAAATGTCTTGATGACATCAAGACTTGGATGGCTGCGAACTTTTTGAGTTTTAATGATCAGAAGACTGAGGTCATTGTGTTTAACCCTAGCTCTGCCACTGTCACTGATCCAGATAAAGCTGATAAATGAAAATGAGGTTGATAATTTCCATTTATCATGCGATTAATTGATTTATTGATTATCACGACCGGCCTAAAAACATATTAATTTAAGAAGTAATTTTCAACAGTTTTTCGCTGTTAGTGGACAAAAGCACGTTCTAAATTTACAATGCATTCTGGGTAATGTTAGACTTCTGTAAATAAAACAGAAATGCAGCTTACTGTAAAAAAAAAAACAAGCAGTCGGTTTAAAATGAAAAACTCTAAGGTTGTTTTTTAGTATAATTCTCGGTTTATTTAGCAGTTCTGTCTCCTGAAAGAACCGAGGATCAATAATTTAACTTTTATAAACGCCTCTCGGCTTCCTGGAGTTGAGCAGAGACTTCCTGTTCTCTCTGCCCCTCGTCGTATTTGGTTTGAGAGCGTCGGGTAAGAACCGGTCCGACCGGCTCTTATTTACTCTGTAAACATTCAAACGTCCAAAAAAAAAAATCCGTTCTGCCTTCAGAAAACACTCGGGACGAATTTCTGTTTGAATTTGAGGCGTGGGAATTCGTGTCATTCCTTAAAATCAGCAGGAGGCCCAAACATGGGGCGCGTCGACAGGATGTAGGATAAACATGAAGTGTCTGAATTCAACTTAAACTGGTTTTATTTGATCTGGACGCTAAAGATTTTGGAGCTCTATTTACTTGAATGTTAAAGAAAATGTCAGAAGATGATAATCACCTGATTGTTATAATTTTAAGATATTAAACTAGTGTTCATTTAAAAACAGATAAAATGCAACGAACTTCATGATGACGTTTATTTTCACCTGATTTTACCAAACTCACTGTAAAACAACTCCTTTCAGTCCCTTAAACAAAGTTTACCATTAAATGTGTTTTAATGAGAATATTTACAATCACAACTCGTTTGTAGCAAAATGTTTATTAAAAAATACATTTTAAAAAACTGAACGCAACGTTCAAATTAAAGACAGAAACTCCGTTAGGAGTCAGTTTTATTGTCTTAATAAAAACGTGAAGTTTGTCACTTCTGAATGTGGACAGGTTTCTGCCAACAGGGGGCTCAGGTGAGCCCGACCTGCGGCCCGCGGGCCAAGATGAACAAATAAAACGTTTAGACCTGAACGATGACGGGCGGAACAATTTATAGAACAATAAAGATCAGGACACTCGAGAAACAACGTTTCAGCCTCGGAGGAACAAACTCAGAACCAACGTTTCAAAAATGGGAACTTCTTAAACACGACAAAAACAAAAATCAAACTTCCTCATCTCAGTAAAACAGGTAAAAATAGTTTGTAATCAAAGTAAAGTAATACGTTTTATTATTTCTACTTAAAGACACTTATTTAAAACTGAAAAAACAAACATTAATCCTGTCTTCCAAAATGTTACGTTGAATATGTTCAAGTTAAATTTGCAGGCGACCATGAGCTCATCGTTCAGACGTAGTGAAGCTGTCGGTGCGTTTTATTGACGCGAAGCTTCACGGCGTTCCTGCCTGAAGCCAGAAGTCGTAAAAAGATGGCCGCCAGCCATAAAGCCCGCCCTTCTAGTTCTGTCATCAAAACATTCACAACAAGCGTTACACCAGCGTCCGTCTCTGAGGGGGTTGGACAGTGAATGTTTGTAGTTTTGGAGACAAGTGTTTTTTCTGGACTGGAACAGAGAATAAAGTAAATCTAAATGTTTTTAACCTAAACGTATTTAACCTAAACGTTTTTAGTGTGAGATATTCGAGACACAAGGAGGTGTTTGTTCTGGTCTGAGGCAGCGCACGTCTTGGATTTTGAAGGTGACCTTCACACGCCTACATGCAGCCACGCCCCAAAATGGAAGCCGACTTGTTTCTGGTCATCGGGCTCACAACGTGCACAGACGGTACTTCCTGTTCTCCGTGCTTGCGGCGGGGGACGAGAAATCTGTTGACCGAACGGTGCAGTTAAAGTAAATTTTGTGCAAAAAATAAACAAGACAGGATTCGGTAGAGCAGTTCCTCGCTACTTGGCGGTGTGTTTATCGAGGACTCACTCCATCACGGTTTTTCAAAGTAAGATTGGACATGACACAATCGGCTGATTGATGGATGAGCTACACGATCGGCATGGAATTTATATTTAAAATAAAACTATTTAGCACCTCTGTGCAGCCCACAGCTGCAGGAGAAGCTCCCTCCTGCAGCTGATCAGCTGATCTCCACTCTGCAGCAGAGAAGTGGGCGTGGCCGAGAACGCTGGCATGTGGCAGAGAGCAGTGACGTAGCCCAAAGCTTCCTAGTCAGAATTCCAACTTAAAGGGCTGTCCCAGTTAAAGTTTCTACACGGAAGCTGGAAATTGTGACGTCAGAGTTGGACGGCATGTCGGCATCGGTGCAGGGGCTGTAGATGTTTTTCCTTCAGCTGCTCGGCCTGCAGGGCTCGCCACACGAGGCAAACGACAAGAGATTTGGTTCATTCTTCCAGACAAAACCTGGGCTTGAACGTGCAGCCTCAGGGTTACACTAACCACCGAGCAACCACAGCTCTTTGGAGTTATACGAGTCAATATCTTACCTGTTGTAGATGGTTCTCTGAATGACCTCAGTCTGAAGAAACGGTGTGACGGATGAGCTGCTGGCTTGTCACAACACGGATCACTGCCGTCTTAAAGCAACTCCGAAGTCTCATCACGGTTTATGTGAACTTTATTTAGTAAAACTTTCGATGGGGTTCCATTAGCAAGCAGCAGCAGCTAGCTGTAGCGGTTCCTGCAGAAAGATTCTTATATTTTTACTGGAGTAACAGTTTCACGTGAACCTTAAGACAACGGAACAATTCCTGAAACTGAAGTTTGAAAATGTTCCGAGACAACAGACGAGCTAACGGCTAGTCAGAACGCAGCAAAGCTCAGTCTAACGGAGGTCCTTTAAAGAGCCATCTACACCAGGTAAGATATTAACTGTTCATCTTGTGCCACAGAACCCCACTTCAAAAGACTTGATTTTTTAAGTTATTTTAAAACTGAAGGTTTTAGCTTGTGATGGACTGGAGACTTGTCCAGGGTGTCCCTGTGATGGACTGGAGACTTGCCCAGGGTGTCCCTGTGATGGACTGGAGACCTGTCCAGGACGTCCATGGAGACATGTCCAGGGTGTCCCCCACCCCTTGCACGGTGGTAGCTGGACATGGACACTAGTGACCCCCGCAACCCCAAAAAGAAGAAGTGCAGATGATGGAGGTTTTCATGTTTTTGAGTTCTCAGCAGAAAAGATTAAATTTAAATCTTAGTATGAGTTCAGGGTGCTGAATAAAAACAGTGTAAGAGTCAGAACTCAGATCAGTTCAAATTGATCTAAAATATTCAGTTTGTGAAACTTCAAGAAGTATTCACTCCATGATCCATTTTTCTTCTGTACATTCTTCAGAATGATTCTCGTCCTGCAGTTTTCAGCTGTTTCAATAAATCACAAAACGTTCGGCTCCTTCACAACAGTCCTGCTGTGACTTTTGGTATTGATGCAACTTTAGCTTTTTGAAATATTTAGCCTTTTCTAAAATTTTGTCCTCATAGAAAATGAACTGAGCTCATTTTACCTCCTTCAGATCTTCAGATCTGTTTACAAGCTTTTACTGCTCCTTTCACATGTTGTTCTGCTTTAGCTGCTTTCAGCTGCTTCAGCTGCTTTCAGCTTCCTTCTGTTAATTTAAAACTATTTTTAGCTAATTTCAGCTGTTTTGTGCTCCTTTCACATGTTGTTCTGCTTCAGCTGCTTTCAGCTCCTTTCACATGTTCTGCTTCAGCTGCTTTCAGCTGCTTCAGCTGCTTTCAGCTTCCTTCTGTTAATTTAAACTATTTTTAGCTAATTTCAGCTGTTTTGTGCTCCTTTCAGATCATTTCTGCCAACTACAACATTTATGTGCTTCTTCTAACTTATTTCAGCAAATTTCAGCTATTTTTGTGTCGTTTATATTTAATTTATTTTATTTGCATTTTGTTTTTTTAATGATTGTTTATTGTTGTCTTCTGTGTTCTTTGTTTAAACCGGGTCTCTCTTGTAAAGAGTCCTTGAGGCTCAATGAGACTAACCTGCAGAAATAAAGGTTGAAAAAAATTATGCTCCCTTCAGCTTATTTCTGCAAGTCTCAGCTTTTTTGACTATTTCAGCTAATATTTAGCTTTTTAATGCTAACTTTAGCCTTTTCAGCTAAAGCCACATTGTTTGCACTCATTTCACAATTGTTCAGCATAATTCAGCAAAAATTTGCTCTCTCCACTTTCTTCTGGTAACTTAAGCTTTTTCTGATATTTTAGCTGTTTTGTTGTTGTTGTTGTTGTTGTTGTTGTTGTTTGCCTAGTTCTGCTTCTTTTAAGCCTAAGTGGCCAAACGTTCTTTGGGGTACGAGATGGGGCAGAGGCAGGGCAGCCGACCCGGGACCAGAATGCCACAAACTCGATCCCCAGCCATTCACACATGGACAAGATACCCAATCACCAAATGCTCCCCAGGCGCCCACACAGCTGCCCACTGCTCCACCTGGGTGCCATGGGTTAAATACAAGTTCGCCATTGGGAACATACAATGATGACAACATAGCACTTATTATATAAACTTATTTATGCTTATTTAACTTATTTATGTTCTTCAACTAATTTAGGCTTGTTCGTGTTTGAAACTTCAGCTGTTTCTCATCAAGTTCTTCTGTAATAAACATTCGCGCTGCATTTTCACAGGAAGCATCTTCTCTAGTTGTTCTAATATGGTGTGGGTCAAGAATGAATCCGCTGAACACCTGAACCTCATCAACCCCCTGAGCCCCGCAGAGGTTCCAAAAACCCGGAACTAGACCAGATTCTTTATTTTAATGAGGAGGAGTTTATTTATGTCGAGACTTGCGTGTTTTAAACAGGATGGAATCATAATACTGAGAGATTCAGCTGAGGAACTTGTTCGGTTTTAAACTCAACTGAGACAGCGACCATTTGTTCCTGTGGCTGCAGCAGGAGGCTCCTCCCTCTTTAAACACCTGCGGACAGGTGAGCCCTCAGGTGAGCCACAAACATCCAACAGGTGTTCTTACCGTTCAGGCACGTTTCATTATTCAGGTGAAAATCCCGCATCGTGCTGCTTTCCTCCGCAGAGGGAACAGGTCCACAGAAACACCCGAACCGGAAGCGGGTCTCTTTCTACCTCCGTCCACCGGAACCCGATCAGTTACTCAGTAAAAACCTCCATAAACCGTTCAGGGGCGGAGAGCAGCTGGACCTGCAGGACTGGGGTCGGGTCGGTCCCAGGAGTCCGACGCAGACTGTCCTAACCTCCGTTTATCTCTGCGGAACCGGGCTCGGCCGCGGCGGGGAAGGTAAACATCTGACCCGCCCATCATTGACCACGCCCACCAGGGCGGGCACGATGCCGCCAGGGCCGAAAGCGGAGAGCCAGGCGCCCGGGGCAGAAACCTGCTGGGGGGGGGGGGGGCACAGTGTCTTTTTCTGTTTTAAGCAATAGTTTTTTTTATGTTATTTTTTTATTTATATATTTTTTTAATTGTTCTATGAGAATGTTTTTAATTTTCCAAAATATAAAAATAATAATAATAACTTTAATCCATTATCTTTACCCGTTTATTCCATTTTGGGTCACGGGGGTCGCTGGTGCCCATGTCCATCAATCACTGTGCGAAGGGCGGGGGACACCCTGGACAGGTCTCCAGTCCATCACAGGGACACATAGAGACAAACGAGACAAACAACCATTCACTCTCTCTCTCACACCTAGGGACAATTTAGAGTTACCAATCAGTCTAACATGCATGTTTTTGGTCTGTGGGAGGAAACCGGAGCACCTGGAGAAAACCCACGCATGCACGGAGAGAACATGCAAACTCCACCCAGAAAGGCCCCTGGACCAGGGTTTGAACCAGGGACCTGCTCGCTGAGAGGCAGCAGCTCTACCAGTTGCACCACCGTGCTGCGCCAACAAAAGTATAAAATGTAAAAGAAAAACAGTGATAACATCAAAGATATGAAGTAAGAAAAACATCAGCTAATAATGCACGAAGCACGAACATGAGTCTGTGTGAGCAGATGAGCACGCATAAACACATCAACACGAAACAGATCAGCAGCAACACGAAACAGATCAGCAGCAACACGAAACAGATCAGCA